TAGTAACTTCTCGAAGGTCGGGCTTTTTTCTCCTATTTGGGGTTTTCCCGGGTTTTTCCTTCAACACTTATACTGACAGCCATATATAATCTATCATATGCTAAAAAAAAATGGCGTTAAACCCAAAACAACAAAAACCATACAATGTAAACTGAAAATATTTACCTCTAAAGATGGGGGAAAGCTTGTTCCCCTCTATGGAAACATTTATGTAACCGAATGGGAAAAAGAAACATATATTTTGATAAAACTATCCCAAAAGCTACCATTTTCTATGTCAGGTTTATTAATTTTTTTTTTTTATTTCGACCCATTTCACAAGACTAATGACCAGCATTCGTCAATTCAAATATTAAAAAATTAGAGATAATAAGACTCAGTTAAAATAAATGTCCAAAGGTTGAAAATCTAGACGCACGTGTATCTTAAACAAATTGACACTCGTAAATATTTTATGGTAAAGATAGAAATAAAAAAAAATGGGATATGTTAAACAAGAAATATTTGAATATTTTAAATAAGAAAGATTTACACATTTAGTGAATTGAAATCCAAAGATAATATATAACCCTTTTCATTTGAAATGTGAATTAAATGGTTGTAATATGTGTAATTTTCTAATTTATGGAGAAATACTAACGATCTTGAAATCAGATAAACATTTAAAATTAAACAACATATTTCATGTGATACACAAACTATGATCTATTTGGTATATCGGCTGAACCGTCAGGAGGAAATATGTTGAGGAAATATACAGTAATTTTTGCGTTGGTATGTTTTTCAATATTGATCTTAATATGCTTCAATCTTAATCTTAACGTGCTTTAATCTTAATCTGAATGTGCTTCAATCTTAATCTGAAAATACTTTAGTCTTAATCTTAATATGCTTCAATCTTAATCTTAACTTGCTTTAATCTTAATCTGAATGTGCTTCAATCTTAATCTGAAAATACTTTAGTCTTAATCTTAATATGCTTCAATCTTAATCTTAACTTGCTTTAATCTTCATCTGAATGTGCTTCAATCTTAATCTTAATGTTTTTCAATATTAAACTTAAGCAGCTTCAATCTTGTTCTTGCTCTTGATTATCTTAATCTTCATCTTAATGTGCTATAATCTTGGTCTTAATCTATTTCAATCTTGATCTTACTCTGCTTCATCTTAATCTTACTGTGCGTCAATCATAATCATAATCTGCTTCCATCTTATCGTAATGTTCTACAATCTTAACCTTAATTTGCTTCAGTCATAATCTTTATCTGCTTAAATATTAATCTTAATTGTCTTCAATTTTAATCATAATGTGCTTCAATTTTGATCTTAATCTGCTTTGATCTTAATATTAATGTTCTTAACCTTAATCAGCCAAAATCTTATTATCAATATAATTCATTCTGATCTGAACATTCTTTAGACATAATCTTAATATGCTTTAGTTATCATCTTAACATGCTTAAATCTTAATCTTAATATGCTTCATTCAGATCTTAATATGCGTTAGTCTTAATCTTAATCTCCTTCAATTTTAATCTTCATCTGATTCAATGATGATCTTAATGTTGTTTAATCTTAATCTCCTTCAATCTTAATCTTCATCTGATTCAATGATGATCTTAATGTTGTTTAATCTTAATCTCCTTCAATCGTAATCTTCATCTGATTCAATGATGATCTTAATGTTGTTTAATCTTAATCTTAATCTCCTTCAATCTAATCTTCATCTGTCTCAATGATGATCTTAATGTTGTTTAGTCTTTATCTTAATCTCCTTCAATCTTAATCTTCGTCTGATTCAATGATGATCTTCATGTCGTTTAATCTTAATCTTAATCTCCTTCAATCTAATCTTCATCTGTCTCAATGATGATCTTAATGTTGTTTAGTCTTAATCTTAATCTCCTTCAATCTTAATCTTCGTCTGATTCAATGATGATCTTCATGTCGTTTAATCTTAATCTTAATCTCCTTCAATCTTAATCTTCATCTGATTCAATGATGATCTTCATGTCGTTTAATCTTAATCTCCTTCAATCTTAATCTTCATCTGATTCAATGATGATCTTAATGTTGTTTAATCTTAATCTTAATCTCCTTCAATCTTAATCTTCATCTGATTCAATGATGATCTTAATATTGTTTAATCTTAATCTTAATCTGCTTTAATCTTAATCTTAATGTCCTTCAATCGTAATCTTGATTTGCTTCAATCTTGATCTCAATAAGAGTCACTCATAATCATAATGTGCTTCAATTTTAATCGTAAAATGCTTTATTATTAATCGTACTATTCTTTTATCCAAAACTTAATACAGTGTAGCACAAGCAAGAAATAAGAGTAAATTTCAATATCGTGTTCGACGCGTATAAATCTGATTTCTTGTAAGAAGGGCTTTTACTAACAGCCTAACATTGGAACATATGAACCGAGCGTTAAATTGACTCATGTCTGGCTCTGAAACCTTTGTTATAGCCTTAAGTCAGTATATCGGCACCGATACTGGATGTAATGCAAATTGCAGAATTTCTCAGCAGTATTTAGTACATTTGTAATATTTCCAGATTCTCAGACATCCTCGAGTATAATTAGTTCTCTCTCTCTCTCTCTCTCTCTCTCTCTCTCTCTCTCTCTCTCTCTCTCTCTCTCTCTCTCTCTCTCTCTCTCTCTCTCTCTCTCTCTCTCTCTCTCTCTCTCTCTCTCTCCACTTTCACATCTTATGCTGTATCGGTCCTTTGTACCAGTTATATAAAAAAAAGATGAAGAAAAAAGCGTATATATTTGCACAAGCAAAATGAACAAGATATCAAGAGGTAAACAATACCAGCTGTAGAAGATATGTGATATTACTGACAATATGTGGCAATACATAGCAAAGACATTCATATTTGCTTATGAATATTGCAAGACATACCGCGTATCTTTTTCGGCGTTTTCCAGACAAAATGAAGCATATGTTTTTTTTTTGTATAATTATACGTGAAAATATATTTGTCCTAACATTTCCTTTGGGTTACACTCTCACTTTGAAAAAAAAAAAACAATTTCCAATGAAATGGTTTTCTTACATGCACATAAAATTTGACTTTTACCTTCTTAGCACTCTTGTCAAGAAAGGCTTCTGACATTGACTTCCGTAACATGCTATTTTCCCATATTAGAGAATGTCGCCATATTTATAACCTCTTCGAATGTAAGCTATCTCATAAGATACGTATATCAATTTACAGTTATCGTGTGTGTATGTATATAAAACAGGCGTTTCCAGATGCATGCCATTTTTCTCTTACATATTCAATTGTATCATCGTTAAGTCGATAAGTAACTTCGTTCGTAATTCGCTGAGCATTGGAAAAATTCCGAGCATGTTCCCGAGTTAGAACAAAAGTTGATCTCTAATTTTACTAATTTCGATCCATCCTCCTTCGTACGGTATTGCAGTGCAAATAATTATAGTCGATTAGTTTGAATAAACAAACAATATGTTTTACTTGGAAAACAATGGAAAAATGAAAAATGTGTAGATACATGCTATGCAGTCTGTTATAGTTTCGTATAGTTTCCTTTGCTATGTCTGAGAATGCTCACGTGTTGCAATGAGATTAATCTCCATATTGTCACTTCCAATGTCAGTCAATGACATCACGTGATCTTAGTCATTGTGATTTGTGAACCAAATTCGTCCTTTTGATTATAACTTAAATCAATAAAATGACAAATTTCAATTCGCACGCTAACTTCAAAATATTAATACCAGTTCTTCGAAGGCCAATATAATCTTTTGCAGACTAAGATTTTCAACATTTATTATTCGTAACAGAACGTGTGTGTGCGCTCGCATCTGTCTGTGTGTGTGAGTGTGTGAGTGTGTGTGTGAGAGAGAGAGAGAGAGAGAGAGAGAGAGAGAGAGAGAGAGAGAGAGAGAGAGAGAGAGAGAGAGAGAGAGAGAGAGAGAGAAAGGTGGGAAGGGGCAGGCAATTAGTGTTTGAAATTGCGGAGCAAATATATTCAAAATTCAAGTTTCATGTGATGCATAACTAATTTTATTCTCCTATCCAGTTTTCTCCAGTTTTCCTGCATAGTTGTCTTTTGGTTAAACTGCAAGTATACGTTTTCAAGCGTGACAAAATGTAGCCTATTACAGCTGTAAATATTTAAGCCTGTGTTTTTCGATCAATATCGATGTCTAGTCCATTCTGATAAAGAGGTGCTAATACACACTATACGTTAAAGTAAAATAAATTTTATAATAATTATTATTAATGGTGACAACTGAGGAAAACAGCCATCTTTATTTTATCAAAAATTTTCCACCATTTTAACAATCAGATCTCTTCTGCATTAATACCTTACTCGGCCGGAAATACTATTGGAAGGTGCCTGTCCCGCGTACGTCATGACTAGAGTTAAGATCCATGACACGCTTTTATAGTCTAGGAAAATTACAACTCCCTATACCTGTCTATCTGATTTTCAGACTGTCTGTCTCTTTTTCTCCAAAGAAGAAAGTTTTAAATTTTGAGAACAGAGAGGGTGAGTGGTAAAGTGCCAAATTAACAGAGATTACTACAAGCAAGCTAAGTTTTAAGAGGAAAATAAAATCGTTTGTATATTTGAAGTACATACAGACTACTACGTACATGCATATCAACAATAGGTACAGTTATAACCTATATCATCAAATACATATGAAATTAAGCTTACAATAGGTCCGTAGAATGTCTGAATAGTATGTACTAGTGAGTCTTCCTCTCCGTCATCCACGCCCTAAAAATAAATTGGGGACTACATTTGTGTGGCCTTTGTGCCCTCAGTTCACATGCACGCTACTCATAGTTCACATAAGTTTTCTGAAAATCATCGTCTCTTTCCGATGCAAGTGGAATAACTTCGACTCTCTGAAAGATACTCGGAAGTAAAATGGATGTCGGTCTCCTAAAGCACTTACCGATGGAAAGTATTACTGAGGTTACAGCCGAATCTCTTTCAGAGGGTGACCGCTCCAGTGGCCTAGTGGTTAGAGCGTCCGCCTTGGATGAGGGAGGTCGTGGGTATGAACCCCGGCCGAGTCATCCCAAAGATATAAAAATGGTACTAACAGCTACCTCGTTTGGTGTTCAGTATTAAGATGGTAGTGTTAGGACAGGTCGGCTTGGTGTCAGGATAATGTGACTGGGTGGGACATCATGTTACATATCTATGGCATGATGCCCCGGTGCTAGACATCACTATAAGCTGCCACACTGCAGACATCGTAGTTATATGACTGAAAAAAATAGTTAAAGCTACGTTAAAAATCCAAATCACATATCACATTCGACTCGCATCGGAAAGAGACGAAGATATTCTGATTGCATTAATTCACTGATGGTAGTAAGTAGTACCAAATCCTTGATAGTTATTAAAAGCTTCTTTACAACTCTTCGATTAGAAACACTCCGCCACACACTATCAAAGTCCCTTCCCGGTTGGCAGAAAAAGATTTTCTATGTTCCGATTGGCAAGCAAACTAGGAACTAAAAAGAAGTTAGAGAGATACATATATAGAAAATCTGTTAAAACCACGTATATCGTGATGACAGTTTTTGATCCATTTATACAAAAAGTGTGTGGGGTAAAAACCTTTTTTAGATAGGCTTCTAAAATAAGCGTAGAGATTTGCTTTCTCTGCTATTTAATGAAGACGAATTCCCATTATTTATCAAACTTTACAATTTGCGGTGTTGTTTTATTTTTAAAATCGCTCATTTCCATTTAGACATTAAGACGTTGCGTACCTCATGCAATGTTTACTTCCTCATAAATGAAAGCGTTTGGTAACCTCCAAAATTGAACATATGACTACGGAAGTGTGAAAATGGCTAAATTTACGTTTTCCAAAAGCTTATGATAGCACATGTTATGAGGAATTTGATTTATAATTACAATTTAGACTTATATTACATTAACCTTACAAGTCACAAAAACAAAAACAGTGAAGGTGCAAAATATTTGGTACTTTTTGGTTAACTCTTAACACACATACATGTCAACCGAGCTGGTCGGCTTAAAGGATAATATCCAAATTGGGGCGTAAATTGCCAGATAGCCTAAGCGGATTCTGAGCAGCTATAATGCAGAGTGGTAATTGATTAAATTTGCTTAAATAGACTTGGGTCTCAATTTTTACTTCTGGGTCACTAACAGCGATTATAGTCCCAGTCTCTATTTAGGATGGGGCTTCCTCTCATTTTGTGATAATACGTGATTTAGATTTAGGCAGTCCTGTTATTGATTTAGGCATTTTTGTTATTGATTTAGGCATTCTTGGTACTGATTTAAAATAAATTGCTTATTGTTTAGAATGTGAGCATTCTATGGTGTTGTTGTCGGTGTGTATTTTGGCCAGAATGCACATTGAATAATGAGGCAATGTTGCTAGTGAGACACACCGCACGTTGGTTTCATTACAATCCAGTGACTCAAAAATACCTGTGGTTGACAACAGCTTCACAATGTGTTCGTCATTGAATATATTTTAAATTACCGTAAGATTTATTAGGATTTGGACACACTAGATTGACTAGAAGGTTCATATATGACTAACAGATACATGAACTCTACAGGAAAAATATTTGTGATCTGAGTCCAGCTTGGTTTCCCTTCTCATGTAGTGACTTTCTAGTGCGCGAAGATTGCGCGCACTGCTGAGAAACCAGTTGAAGTAAATTTCTTATAATCACCTTGAATAGAGAAGTTCTGGAATTTTGGGTTTTGTAATCAGCGTGTCCTTCCCTTCTGCCATTGTATAAGTAAAATATATGTTTCTGACTCTCTGACAATTACAGTGGACCTTTCGTAGAAGAGATGTGTTTTGATGAATCGGACCAAAAACATGATTCATCCTTTGTGAAGAATGTTCATCGGTTTTCCCGACCATGTTTATGATAGTATGCATTCTTTCCACAGGAAAATGAGGCAAATCGATTGAACCCGTCTCAAACTCGGTTATGATAACATGGCCAATTGCAAATAGATCAACAAAAAAAAAAGAGAAAAATCATAGCATTTCGCTGAAATATTCTTCCTTTGTAAGCTTTTATTTTCATTTAAAAATTACAGCATGAACATGTCATTTAATTTATTTATGCAATGATCAAAAATAAGATTGTTAATATTAGGATATCATTGAAATGTGTTATTTAATTATATGCAGTTCTAAATAAAAACAAATTGATTGCATTTAATTGCCAGACCTGTGTCGGATGTGTCTCGAACTCTCCTTCAAAACTGTTGACAGCAATATGTATGAGTTTTCATATAGTTGGGCCTCATTTGAGACTAGTTTTTGGTAGTAATATCGAGTAAAGTTTCAACATGGATGAGTATTTGTCGACCTTGACGTTTCCTAAAATAATTGTCACAGGCAATATATGTAAGGTAAACAAAATGACCGATTAATAGATAATTTTGGAATTTATATGTACTAATATAACAAAATTATGTTTGGAGAAAACAATATGCGAAACTATAAATCTACTTTTGCATCGGTTTTAGCTCTTTGAGAGGTGTGATACAAAAAGGCTTGCATCTCTGGAAGAAATATTGTCAAAGAGAAAATATAAGTTCTTGTTTACATTTCGTGAATAGCAATATGTTCTTTCACTTTGAAAGTGCTATATTTCAGAAATTATTTATTACAGCACACGCAATTGTTTTACTTTACAATAATTTTCATTTTGAGTTTCTTACTTTGTATGCATCCATCAGAACCTGTTCTTGATCCGTAAACAGTGAATATAAATGTTGATTGTTACGAAGTGTGCACGATTATGGGGACACACTCTGATCAGAGAAAAAGGATGGATAGTTTACACACACACACGCACACACACACGCACACACACGCGCACACACACACAAACACACACACGCACACACACAAACACACACACGCACACACACACGCGCGCACACACGCACACACACACAAACACACACACAAACACACAAACACACACACGCGCACACGCACATTTGATGGTATAAAAATATCACATACAAAACAAGGTACTCAAAATGTTGTCCTTTAAGAACAGGTATCTTTTATGAAAGTATCTGCAAAGACAAGTTTTATTGAAAGTGGTTTAAAGAACTACGATATCTTGCTTACATGCATAATAGTGCTAACTCAGCAATGCATGTATCCTAGTTTCTTATAGAACATTGGACCAGAATGAAACACAATTGATTTGTGCTTGTAAATCGTGTATTTAGAACCAAATAAAGCATAATTTTTTAACAAAAAATGTTCAAATACCGAACAACCAGCTTCCTCCATTCCTCTAGATTTTTCGTCTTTCTTAGTGAGTCGCTTAATATCATGCCTGTCCACTCTCGAATGTTGTCTTCACATATCTTTCTCTATTTGCTTTGTCTTTAAAAGTCATGATGATCATGAGACATGCACATACCACTGCAGTTTACTTTTTTCACTGTGCGTAGGAGGTCTTCATGAGGCCCAATGGCTTGTCTGATCCTTTGTATATTTCTTCATTAGAGACTCGGTCTTTGTATGAGACGCAGATGATCTTTCGGAAAATCTCATCTCTGTTGCCTGTATTCTTTTCTCTAAATCAGCTGTAATAGTCCATAGTTCACAGGCGTGGAGAAATATGGAGATCACCAGTGAGTGCATCAGTCTGACCTTTGAACTGAATGTGATGTTATTGTCGTTTTAAATGGACTTCAGTTTTGTCGGCGCTGTTTTTGTCTGTGCAATCCTGGAGAGCACTTCAGTCTTCGATCCTTCATTTTTTACAATACCCCCAAATATTTGAAGCTGTGGACTGTTCCTAGCTTCGTACCTTTGACTATGATGTGAGTACTGATGCCCTTGGTGTTGTTGGTCATCAGTTTGGTCTTCTCTGCCCTGATTTCCATGCTGTAGGCTGCTGAGGTTTTGTCGAGGCTCTCTACTAAGCTAGCTAGTTCTTGCTCATTTCCTGCTAGTTCATCAATATCGTCAGCAAAGCAGAAGTTGGTGTCCATTTTGTCTCCGATGCTGACTGTCACTTCATGCTTTGCAAGCTCGTCAGCCATGATTCTCTACAGATAGTGGGAGAGAGCAGACAACCTTGTTTGACTTCGATTATCATTCTGAACCAGTCCCCTGTGCTGCCGTTGAAGTATACTGAGCTGGTGGCCTTGTCATAGAGGTGCTCTGTTACTCTGATGAGATTGGCATTGATGTTGCACAGTCGGACGGTCGCCCACAAGGCTGCATGCCATACCCTGTCCAATGAATTCTTGAAATTCACGAATACATGGTGGTGTTGGAGGTACTTCTCACACAATATCCTGAGGATGAAGATCTGCTATGTTGTGCTGCGCCCTGCTCTGAAGCTTTTCTTATTCTCCTCGGCAATGATCTTTTCAGCCTGTGGCTTTAGTCTATTCAGCAGTATCCTCAACACGACTTTGCTTGGATGACTTATAAGACTGATTGTACGATGGTTTTGACACTATTGTAAGTTGCCTTTCTTGGGGAGGGTGATGATTAGTGACTGGGTCCAAGGTGTTGGCCATTCTCCTGTTTATTAGATCTTATTGTAGATGTTTGCGATGGCGCTATTCATGCTACTCCCGCTGCTTGGATCAGTTCTGCTGAGATTTTGTCCACTCCTGCTGACTTGCTATTTTTCAGCGCTCTCACTGCTGAATCTACTTCTTCATGTAGTATAGTAACATAAAATCTAATGAATTCGTCTATATGTTCATGTCAAAATGCATATCAAACTAATGTGTGTCAATCAAGCGTACTTTCTAAACAGATGTAAAAGAATGTTTCATATAAAAGCCAAATCCGAAAGAAAATATAAAAATTATTGTGATGGACTGAAAATCTATTCAATTAATATTCATAATATTACAAAGCGTGCTAGCTTTATGCTCTTTGTCTACCGTAAAAAAAAATTGTTGGTTAACCATGCCAGCAAAATTGTTCCTTAAAAACAATTTCTCGTTCTAACATATTTAAAAGGTGTAAAAACATTCAAACATAATGTCAGTCACTGGAACTTACACAGGTCTT